CTGACCCATCTTTGCACGAGCATCTATAGGCTCTGTCAGAGTGTGGCTGTTGATCAGGATTATCTGGGACCATCTCGAGCAGAAATGGGATCAAACAGCTGCAGTAATTAACAGAAACATAAACTATCAAATGATAGTTTCCAAACGCGTAAAGCACGAGTTTAATATACATCTTGAGCACACACACACACACACATTGCACAGTGCTGGCATGGACTATCCACCAGCTGGCAGGAAGGTGCTGGCAGCCCCACCATGTTCACACTCAGCTTTTTCTTGGGATAAAAATTCAGATTGTGCTTGGTCATTTGTGCAGTCTGCTTTCCCTGCTGGAAGGCAGCATGGCACTGGGGCAGGAGGCTCTCAGCCCCAGGTCTGTGCTGCTCTGGGAGAGCTCTCCCAGAGGTGATGTTCTCACGCAGCAAAGGCAGTGTTAGATGATCCCACATGCGGCTTTCTTCCTGCAGAAGCTGGGAATTTTAGCACCAAGTGTCAGAGCACAGTTCAAAGCAAAGCTTCCCTAGTGGCTTTACATCAGGTAACTGTTGGAGGACAAATGTGTGACAGAATTGTGGGTTTGGGAGCAATGTGTTTCGAAACAGTCAATAGTTTTCATTAATCACAACCCATCTAAGTTACACTTTGGGCTACAAAAGCTGCTGACAGTTCATTGTTTCTCAGAAAACCATATGTCACTAATTTTTTTTTTTTTTTTTTTTTTTTCTATGAGAGATGTTTCCCCCTTTTTGCTACCAAACTGATGTTACCATGTAATGGCTGGGGAGGGTGATAGACATACTCTGCAGTATGATAATTAAGAAGAATAGATTAAACCAGCCATTTTGCCCTGTGTTTCATTCAAAGGATTGAAATAATAAGATGGAAGCACCTCAGATTTGGAGTAGTACTGTGAGGAATGAAGCAGTGAAAAGTTGGTTCTCTGACTGTACCTTCACATTAAAAAAGGGCATGGATTTTGTTCAACAGAGAAAAAAGGGAAACTGTTGCAACAGCACCAAAAAAAAATCTTTTAGCATCTTATTTGTGAACTATAAATTTTGGTTAGTTTTTCATTTTTTGCATGTCTGATGATCTAAGCTACATGTATCAGCCTAATTTTCATTACAGAAATAACAAGGTGATTTTTCTGTGTGCAAATAAACAATTTCCAACATATCCTGATCAGCACAAAGGAAGAATAGAGCACTGGGTTTTCAGACCTGTATCCTCTGCTTTGGAAACTGCTGTTCCTGGGTTGCATCTCCTGTCCCTCCACTATTATAGCTGTTGGATCTTTTTACATCCTTTTAGCAGAGAAGAAAATAAGGAATCTCGAAAGAGTAAATGTAAAATCCACTCTCCATGAGAGCAGAAGAGTATTTTGGTGGCCAGTATATACTTTTGGTTGACGCAACTCTTCTCTAAAGGAAGTATTTTCTTGAGCACAATTCATTATATTTTAGAAAGGGGAGGATTTTTGCATAAAATGAGGTGGTTCTGGGCACCTGCCCATCTTTTGGCCAGGTGGTGGCTGTGCATGGACAGAAGCCATCAAAGGTGAGGCTTGGTCTCAGAGGGAGTTTGCACGAGCCAGCGATGCCCTCAAGGAGCAGAATGAATTTTGCTGCTAAGATTTGCACAGAGGAGGTTGCTGAAGTGTCACTGGCATATTTTTCAGGTTCTCAGAGGTTGTGGGTGCATACATTTTGGACTAAGGGTACAGCAGAATTTATAAACTTGTGGGCAGCATTAGAACCTTCTAAATACAGCCAGTGTCAAGCCTGTGTCATCTCAGCTCAGGGGAGATTTTTGGAAGAGATCAGAGCCGAGGGAAGCATTACAAATGGTAAAAAATCCAACATGTTCCAGGCTGGATCCCTTTGGCAACTTCCCACGTAGAGTTAGTTTCTGTGTTAGCTCATTTTCTCCTGCCATGCAGCGGAGGGAATTCCTGAACCTGCCTGTGCCCACAGCTTGTGGCCTCAGCGACTGCTGAGCTGAGATCATCAGAGCTGCAAGAAGCCTTCATTTATGTCAAGACTCTCCTGGAATTTAGGAACAGGAATGTAGCTCAGCAAGCTTTTTGGGGGCTGGGTTTCTTTTTGACTCTTTTTTTTTTTTTTCTTCTTCCTTCTCTTCTAAAATAAAAATGTAATAGAAATAAGCATCACTCTGAGCCCCCAGAGGGGACACTTATGTGAGTGTAAGTGTTGCTACAGCCCCTGTTTTTGCAAGTGCCTTTTTAACTAGTGCTTCAGTGACTCAGCTGGGAAATCCCAGCTCCTGCATAAACCAAATAACCAAACTTTCCAGCAGGGCCATAATAGACTGAGATGCTAGATGGAATGGGCACAGAGGGAAGCTAAAAGCAGGATATCATCATTAAATTGCATATATTCTGTGGTCAAACAAGCCCTAGCTCAGCAGAGCTTTTTCACCTCAAGACATTATTGTTACATAAATCATTGAATCAGGGATCACACAGTATTTTGGAAGAAAGTTTACTTATGTGATACATGCAGTTCTGTGCATTAATTTCTTGCCTGGAATAAGCCCTTGCATTATGCCCAAACAGTTTGTCATAATTGTCCTTTTTTTGCTATGAAAATCTACCTTGCCTTACTCTCTCTTGTGCAAAGAAATATATGGACTGTTTAGTTAAAAGATAAAGAACTACTTTATTATTTCAGCAGAAGCTCTTTTTTGTGCCCAGTCTCCCTCTGGAGTAAAACAACGTGGTATGAAATCAAACATCTGGAGTTTGGAAAGTCAGCTCTGATATTGAAAAACTGTAGCCAGAAGTCTACCAAACCCTCCAAGTGCCTCCTGTGTGGGAAACAAATTTTATGGTGCAATAACTGGAGACCATTTGTTAGAAAATGGGTTGATAATTCACTCTGGGAGTGAGGGGTGTTGCTGGTGTTACTCAGGAAAGTGTTTTGAACCAATTATATCTCCCATTATTTCAGTTTTGTTGTTTCATTTCTTCAGTGAACATTTTGGTCTTTACAAACTTCCTTTTGTTAATATCTGGGCCTGCTGCCTGAGCCTTCTTTTCTTCAATAAGAGATTTAATTAAAAGAAAAAGCTGTCAGGAGGATCTAAATACAAGTCACAACATTATTTTTAAAATTTGACATAGCACTTCAGACTGAGGGCTATTTTGGGTTTAGTTTTGTTTTTAAACCAACATTTCTGGTAAAATGCTGCAGGGCTGCAGTGGTTTTATCCTGCCCACAGTCATGTAACAGTCTGCACTCTTTCTTATTTCACCATTTGCCTGGTGCTGCTTCTGCCTCTCAGACCCCGTGTCTGACTGCACTCCATTGCAGTATTATTATTTTTGATTTGCTCTGCAGTGATTCCACGAGGCTCCAGCCAGGAATCTGTGACTGTGAGGCTGCATTCAGTATCCAGATGTATTGAGATGATCTCTGCATTACATACTCAGAATCAAAAAAATCATAATGCAAATGATAAAAGACTGAAAACAGCTGCAGTGGTTCAGCCCAAGGTCCATGGAGTCCAGCATTTTGGCTCCAGCTGGGGCCATAAATAAGATGCCTGGCAAAGGGAAGGAAAAGAGCAAGATACTTGATATTCCCTCACTTCTTTCCTGGGTCTCCCAACCACCAGCAATTGATTTTAAGCTCAAGGAATTTCCTTTTCCCTCTTCTTTTCAAGGCCAGGTTGGATGGGGCATTGAGCACCTGGCCCACTGGAAGGTGTCCCTGCCTGTGGCAGAGGTGTGGCAACAAGGTCATCTTTAGGGTCCCTTCCAACCCAAACCATTCTGTGATTCTGCAGCCCCCAATGGGTCTGTCCTACAAGTGAATCTCCCCTTGAACCTCCTGGATCAGCTTCCTGCCCCCACAGATCTCTCCAGGGAGAGCTGCACAGCCTGGGGACTCCTGTCTGTGGTGATTCTGAGCCAGGCTCTTGTTTGGCTTTCCTTGCTGTCTCCCAGTCCTGGTGTTGGGAGAGGCAAGCTGTGCCCAGGTGGCCTCAGGGCATGTTGGAGGCTGGTGTCCACCACAAGCTGCAGCATCCCTCTCTTGGTCCTTGTGTGGCAGCTGCTCCAGGCTTTGATCATCCTGGTTGCATTTCTCAGAAGATTTTCCAGTGGTTTTTGGGTTTTTTTTCTTTTCATTTTAGAACAGAAGAGTTTCAATCCCTGGTTTTGCTCTTCAGTCAAATTAATGTCAGTGTTATTCCAAACTTGGAAATATTTTTGGGAAAAGACTTCGTTAAGTTTCTGTAGTTCATATGTTCTGCTACAAAAAAGGGTTTGGTATTCAGCAACTGGCAATGTTCATTAACAGTTACATTTCTTTTTCTTTTTTTTTTTTTTTTTTGTTTTTTTTTTTTTTTTTTTTTTTTTTTTTGTATGTTCTTTTTTACTTTTGTTTTGTTTTATCTTCTTTCACACTTCTGAAGGTGTTCAAACCTGAGCAGGCAAATAAACAGATTTAGGTGAATAGCATTAAATATTATTTTTTAAGGACTTTGGGTGCTCTTAAGTCAATACTTTTGTAACTCCTGCTGTATGTTGGGATGGATACCAGTGGAAAGTTTAGCACTTGTTTGATTTTTTTGCCATGTTCGGCTTTATTAGTAGCTCCAATGGGAGCAGCTTTTGCCTTCTGTCTCTCCATCCTGCTCACCCTCTAGAGACTTACAAAAGTAATACCTTTATTATTTTTCTTCTTTTTCCTGTCATCCGTCTGTCTCCGTTTGCTCAGAGAAATAAGTGATAAACAGGAATGATGATCTGTTCAACACCACAGGAAGAATGTTGCATTATGAGACAAGAGAGACCTCTTGTTTACAGCAAGTTATTTTTGGTAATTAGCCATTTGTAGAGGAAGATGAGCCTCTGCTCATAAAGTCAGCATGCCATAATTTAGGGGGCTCTGAATGGAAATCTACCATTTGCCTCAACTGGAAATGGCAATTGTGTGCATTTAGAAATAAACGAGTGGCTGTTTTTTGCCTTGCAGGAAGCAGACTGAACAAGGATCTGCGGCATTACCTCAACCAGAGGTTTCAGAAGGGGTCACCAGACCATGACCTGCAGCAGACCATCCGGGACAACCTTTACCGCCACGCTGTGCCTTGTAAGTGACAATCCCTGCCCTGGGGCAGGACTCACCTTCGGCTTTGGGGGAGACTGTTTTCACTTTGGGCAGGCTTCCATGTGTGACAGCAGATAGGGTTGAAAAGGAAAATGATTCATCTCTGAATGAGGCTTTTTTTTATTACCTTTTTGGAGCAGTTGATGGTGTGATGCAAGCCTTGTGATGCCTGCTTTGGAGAAAAGCCCTAAAAAAAAACTGCCATGGGGTGATTGCTTGGCTTAGAAAGAGTCTATATTAATATCAGAATGGTGAATGTTGCTTATTGGTTTAAAACCTATGAATATAAAAGAGGTTTCTATTTTTATTTCCTGAGCAGAACTTAATTTCTGATGCTTGTTTAACTTGTAGAATTGAAGAGCATTTTATGGCTGGGTGCCATTGTTGAAGGCATCTGCCACTGTTGGAAGGTCATCCTTGATTCATGTAGGAGATAAGGAACAAGAGTTAGCAAAGCTGAGAAAGAAATGCTCATTTTCACTCAAAAAAACCAAACAAAAAAACCCCCCTACCCAATACACAACAACAACAACAAAAAAACTTCAAACAAAAAACAAAACAAAACCAACCAATCAAAAAGCCAAGAAAAAAAAGACCAAAAAACCCAAACAAACAAACAAACCAAACCAAAAAAAAAAAAAAAAAAAACAAAACCCCAACAAACCAATTGAAAAAAAGACAAAAAAAAAACAGGTAAAAAACTACAAACTCTGGAGCATGGTAGTCCTTAGAAGGTCAGAATAATTACTAAAATGAGATTGTCCTTGGCATTTTGGGAAGGCATACGAAGAGTGGAGAGTGATCCTACTTTGTTGCACCTCTGTCTGACATTCTCCAGGTGGCAGGGGATACTCTTCTAAGGAAAAGGTTTTTTTGCTTAATTTGGCTGAGCTGTGGAAATAATGATATGCCCTTTAGATCAGGCTGGAATAAGTAAACATCTTAGTTATAGGGTACTGAAATAAGCAGCAAAATAATTTGAAGTTTTCTGTCTCGTTGTGAATCAGAGATTGTTTATCCTGGTAGACTTATATAAATATTGAATAATTATGTTGCAACTCAAAAATCAGTATTTGCCAACAAATATCACATAGTGGTGCACACAGTAGTAGTCATTTTCAGTCTAAGTGTTGCATGCAGGAGGGCTGTGTAAGACCAGTTAAAATTGAGTGGTAACACTGACAAATGTTGATTCTTCAACTGGCAGATGCTGCTATAACACCATGGAGTTTATGCTCGTTTTATCAGTGAAAAGCAAGAAACAAATTATGTTTAAAGAACATAAAAGGACATAAAGAATAAATATGGATTATTGTTTACTATTGAACACTTCCGTTTGCCGTTCTGTCAACGTGAAATGTGATTATTTTTCAATCACCTAACTTGGCAGGCTGCAGATTTTTAGGGCATACTGCAAAAAGTGGCTTCCAGGAGAGCTCGTGCAGTGTTAGGCTTGGGAGATGCAGTGTTGTGATACTAATGCCCTTCTGCCTATGTGTGATATTTCATTTCCTAAAACAGCAAATAAAGCAAATGAGTGTAAGTTCTGGGGAAACATTTTGCACGTTACCAAGGTTACATTTTGAAATGCTTTCCATTGATTCTTTTATCTGATTTATCGAACTTGATGGTGAGTTAAGCTGCTTGGTCTTGCTTTTGATTTAAAATTAAGAGCAGTGAAAGTGATTCCTGCCTTTTCAAAATAGCTGGGGAAGATGTGGGTTGTTGGTGTATTAATAAGAGCATCAGTACTTATGTTTCACTTATGAAACAAGTGGAAAACCTGAGAAGTGGTGTTAGTTATTGTGTGTCTCCACACTTTCTAAATTGTTGAGCAGGTAGCATTTAATTTTGGCTTCATTTACTTTGGGGATGGCATTAATGGCAGCTTTTAAGAATGATGCTAATATTGGTGTGTGGCTTGGAAAGAGACTGCTGCATGGTGGGTTGGGATGCTTTACAGGCCTGGAGATTAATCTGGCTGTATGCTCATATTTTTATTCCTTGGTACACGTGAGCAGTAAATCCAGAGCCATGGACCAATCTCTAGTGCTAATGGATTATGAAGCCTTGTATTTTGAAAATGGAATTCCCTGATGCTTATGTGATAAACACAAACAAGAACACAAGGTCACTTGGACTGAGCATGCTTGGCCTGACAGCTGCTTTTTATTGCACTAATATAAGGGCTAAATGAAGTGATAATTAGTAAATTCAAAATGCAAAAGGTGCTGTTAACCAGTTACTGCCCAGAAATTCTGGTGACAAGGCACGTGATTCAGCCCTGACTGGTTTGGTGCAGGGGGTGAGAAAACCCAGAATGTTTCTGTTTCCCACTCAGCCCTGTGCCCGTCCTGTGAAGTCATGACAGCTTTTGTAGAAGACAGAGGCCAAGCAGAAAGGAGGAAAGATGCAGGATGTTTGGCTCAACCTCATTATTTTGTTAATGACATGCTGCTTAAGCATCATTTAGATTTTTGTCTTTAGGAGGGTTGGTTAAGAGTTTCATTTGTTTTCTGGTGAACCCTTGAGGATGAGTGGGATGATGTCAGCTCCCAGGGACCATACGAGCATTTGCCTGTTTGGGTGACACAGGATGCTTTTCTGAGAGATCAGGGGATTTGATCCCTAAATGTGTGAACCATCATAAACAAATGAGACCTTGAAATGGACCCAAAGGTGAAGCATTGTTGAAATAAGTTGGCAAACCACACACACATTTCTGCAAACTGAATTCTTCCCCTGCTCCTCAGTGCCGTCTGCCCCTCCAGCACACTTCCCCCGAGCCCTCATCCCCTCAGCTCCCCACTGAGCTGATTTTTTCCTGCAAGGCTCTGTAGTAAACAACAGCTGTGACAAGATTCCAGGTGGCTCCAAGTTTGGTTGTTGTGAGTCTCGAGTGCTCTGCTGCTCCTATCACACCAAACCCACGGGTTTATTTACAGACCCAGGGCATTCTCCTCTGAGTTTACAGCTTGAGCAGCAGCATGAGCTAGAACAAGGAGAGAGTAAGGAAGAGAGGCAGGGCACCTATTCATATATTTGGATGGTGTAGAAGTGGTTATAAAGTCATGCTACAATGGACAAATCTTTGGAAGAGTTAGTGTAGTTTAGCTTTTACTTCACATGGACCACCACTGGGCTGTTACTCCCTTGACTTTCTTCCTGAGGCTTTCATTTCATTGTAAACATCACCCAAGCCTATACTGTGGAATATTTTTATCTTTTGCTTAAGAAAAATCAGGGTTTTAAAACTTGAGCAAAGTTATTCTCATAGATGTTCAGATGAATTATTGTTTTCCTTCCTACCATGTAGTTTCCACTGTCAAAACTAGACAAAAACCCATCAATACATCATCCAGGTTAGTTTTATGTTGGTCCAGTCTCTAGCCATCCCTTTTCCTTCTTTTGATTTGAAGTACCACATTTTCCCTGTGTTTTGGTGTGCCTAGTGAAGATGACCAGAAATAATGCTCTGTTTTGGGGTAGTTCATGGCTCCATTGAGCTTGGACTATATTGTGAGGTGGCAACAATTCCATAATTACCCCTTGGCCATGCCTCTGCCAGAAGTGCTTTGACTGATGCAAAGACCTGGTCCACACCTTAATTCTACAGTGGATTTCACTTACTCCAGCTCAGTTTTTCCAGCCCAAACACTTGGGAGCAAGAGGGAAGGTTTATCAACTGTGTGAGGCATCTTGCTGGGGCACCCTGTGCCACATTTGAGTCCATCTGTGCTCACAGAAGTTGCTGTGATTTGGGGGAGGCTGAGGGTCAGTGATGCAGTGTGTTGACATTCTGGCTTTAGGTTTCAGAGTGTTTCTAGGAGCAGGACTTTTCCAAACAGGATTGTTGTATGTGAAGGTTCACCTAGTGAAATTTGTGATTATTTGGAAGTTCCTGTAAGAGTATATCCATTAAATGGGTGTTTCCAATCAGCCCTTCAGGGTATACCTGTGCAATAGTGTTTATTGGGAAAGATATGTGATAGCAACTTCCTTTAAGGTGCTAATGCAGCAGCCTGCCCAAACCACTGTTCACAGAAGGCTGAACACACAGGATTGTCTTCCTCTTTTTGAAATGATGGCAGAGGATATCTGTTTAATATAAACATGCAGTACTGGCTATTTGTCCTGCTTTCTTATACTCAGCAACCTGGCATCTGTTTTCTTTTCAAAGTGCATCAAGAGGAATCAGAAAGATGATACTTCCATAAGAGCTTATCTCAGCATGTTGTTTGATTTTGGGTTTTTTTTTTCCATTTACTTGATTCTCCACTTGTTTCAGTCCTGTGTGACATGCAGAGGCAGCTGTGGTGGGTCTGGTGTCTGTACGTTTACTTGCCAAAGCAGTATACCTGGTGCAGACATGACTGAAATAACAGCTAATCCTATTTCAGTCCTGTGCAACCCCTTTCCTTGCCAGGCTGCAGTCTTCAGAAGCAAAGCTCTGGAAGGTGAAAGATCTTTTTGATGGTAGATGAAAAGGTGACAGTGACTAGCCTAGAGTTAAGTCAGACTAGACACTATATGGCATTCTTTTTATTTTTCCCCTTTTCTTCGCAAAATTGGCTTTTAAAATGTCAGGAGGTCATCATTCAACAGTTGATTGACTTCCCCAAAACAAGTACATGTCCTGGGATTAAATGACTGGAGATCTGAATGTTAGAGATTTGCCACTTTCATTCCTGCTGTCTGTTCTCTCACCTTCCCAGAGTTTGATCTGTTCCTGTCCTCAATTACAGCACAGTAGCTCCAGCTGTTGTGCTTGGTTTTATAGAGGAACATGGAGCAAAATGGAAAGAAATGGATAAAAATCAATAGTTGTAAGTGTTGAGTGACCTGTGAGGAGGCTCAGGAAAGAGCCAACAACACTCAGGCACCTGGCTGGCCTGAGCACTCACATTTCAGTGGGAAGTTTGAGAGTTTCTCTATTCCAGGTGATCTCCTGGTGCAAAGGAGAAATCTCCTTTCAAAGTAAA